CCCAAAATAAAGAGATGAATCTCATAGTTTATTAGATATAATCCGTGTAAAGTTTGCTTATCATTTTCGCATAAATTATGACCTAAATTTGGAAACCGCTGAATTTCTCGAATTGGGTCTTTGCGATTTTGGTGAAACTCTGTTCAGCGCAAGGCACTAATGCGCACTATATGTAGCCGAGAGATTTTCACGAAAAAATGCCTGCAACAGCAGATTTTCGACTCAGACCTCAAAGGGGCGTGGCATTATAACCACGTGACATTTACTCCGATCGCCAAAAATTTTATGTTATATTGTAGATTGATCTATATGTTATCCATTCTATGTGTTACACTTACGATAAAAGTAAAGGTGGAGATACCAGAGAGCTTCAAAGTAGGATGGTACCCCCCAAAAAAAACTGGGTCGAGTCACCTTAAGCGCAAACAGGTGTCATCTTTGGCTTTGAAACCGCACTTTGGAAATTATTCCAAAAACGTTTTTAAGAATCGGTTCTTTGCGAAATTTTCATTGCTGAGCATTTTAGTGAAATTCCAAAGTCATTGAAAATTTCTAAGTCACTGCCGAGAAGTAACATCGTGTTCATGGTAAATCCGTTTGCGCCTGGCTTCGTTAAGGCCAATTGTGTGCGTTTTACTCCTTTCAAATCAGGAGTTGGCTTGGAGCTATTGGAGCTAATAAACGTTCTTTAAATGTCAGAAACTAATATAAAAACAACAACAAGCCCAGTAACTTTAAAAATAAATTATAATTGTTAATTACTTTCCCCGTACGCAAACCTATGTATCTGACCCATGTAATACCCACTATAAATGTAATAAAAACCAACCATAATGTAATAAAATTTTAACCATAAATGTAAATAATCTGCCTCACCATAAATGTAATAAACTTTAACCATAAAATGTAAAAGGTATAGAAAATCGTATGAATGCCAGTACATTTCGCTATTTATTGTACAAGTTCAGTGTTTGAAAGTTATTAAAATTAAATGAGCCATTTGTCATGGTTAACAATAATTTTGTCCCGCTGTCAGCCATAGTTTTGAATGTGTTTTTAATTCACGCTTCCTCGCTATCCTTTCCAAAGAAACTTCAGTATTGTATTGTATAACCTCAGAAGCCGTCCTGATAACCTTTGTGGGCACTCCACATAAAGCTGTTACTACTTTTCTCGTTGACCAATCCGAAATATCATTTTTGGTTTAGTGAATATTATAAGTGGATTACAATCATGAAATGTCAAATGTCAAATGACAACTTCTTTTAAGGTGGCTCACTAGAGTATTATTTTAATTTTTGATAATTATGCGTCCAGTTTAATTTCCCATAGACCTCATTTTTTATATAACCAAACCAGGAACAAACCGAGTAGCTATCAAATTTTTATATCTATTTTCTTTGTATGGGTAACGTGCGCGCGTACGGGAATAAGGTTGTCAGAGGCATTACTGGGGGAAGACTAGTTTCCGTCTCCCATACCACATCCATTTTTACAAGTTCAACGCTCCTGCTGAACATGAAAACCAGTGCTATTTTATTTTTATTTTTAATTACGCACTTATTTTTGAAGTAAACGTTTCAACTATCTTGCCATTTTACAGGAAGGAGCCTGTTACCTGGGGCTCCAGGCCTCAATTTCGGGGACATGAAAGGTTCAGCATCAGAAATGCTGAAATGCTTCATCAGAAATGCTTGAAATGCTTCATCATATGAAGAATTTGCAAACAGAAGTTGTTTGACCATGTCTTATATAACTTTATAAGTTTCTTTGGTCCGTGTTCTCTTCAAACAAGAGGTAAATCAATGAACACCTTAATGCAACATGCCCCCCCCCCCCCCTTATCGGTAAATAGTTCCTGCCGGAAAATTAGTGCAAGATTGCTGAAAAACTCTGCTCATACGATTGCACTATCTGTCACTAAGTTACTGAATCTATCAATTTTGAAACTGGTAAATTTCCTAAATTGTGGAAATGTTCTAAAATTACAGCCCTGTTTAAGT